GTTTGACATGGACTTTCAATTTTGACTCTATTCAGTAAGGAAGTGTAGCCAAACTGGAGAGCAATCATTTTTCGTATCTTTTAATCTATTATGTAATGCTGGTGATTACATAAACACACATACAAAAACACGCACTCGAGAGTGCACAAGGCTGTGCAGTAATTAAATAAATAAATAGGAAGGGACGCCAAGAAGAGGGCGACGCAGTGACGGATTTTTATCAAAAACTTTGACACGTGAGGTAACAACACTGGTGATAAACAACATGTGAGGTAAAAATAAAAACACTGGAAAGACAAGTTGGGAAGAACAAGAACAAGAACAGGAAACTGCTCAACTGTAAGTAGAGTGCAGGTGCAAAAAGAACACTGAAAACTAGAAGCCAATGAGGCTGGTCACACTTTTAATCAGTCTGGTGGTGAAGGTGCAGTTCTTGTGGCTGGAGGCGAAGAGCGAATCACCGACGTTGGTCAGCATCTTCTGCTGTCTGTTGGCCTGCCAGTTCTCCTCACTAGGCCGGCTGGCCCAGCTGGAGTACTGGATCTGACTGAGGGGGCGACCCTGGCGAAAGTCGGCAATGATGGCGGGAATGTCCGCCGCGTAGATCGGCTTCACCAGATCACGGAAGCAGTACTTGGAGATGATGCCGTAGTTGTTGCCGTGGTTGTTGGTCATGTCCGGCCGCTGCAGATGGCCATCGGCGCGGTGGCGGGTGGTGGTGATGATCAGCTCGGTCTCGATGAAGAGCCAGGCCTTCTGGCTGTCGATCGGTTGAATGTACACGCTGCGACGCCGTCTGGTGGCCACCTGCTGGTGCATTCGTTCGCTGCGCAGCTTGAAGCGAAGCTCCGCGGCGCGGTCATTTTCAGTGCACAGCTTCATTTCGAAAAAAATTGGTAATGCGTTCGAAGTTTTGAGCTCTGTCTTCAGTCAGTGTCGCACTGTTTGACTGATGCTAAACTGAGGTTCAGGCTTGAGGTCGAAGGCACGATCGTATGGTGCGATAGAAAAGGTCGGAACCAATAACAGAAGACAGACACAGTAGNCGATCGGTTGAATGTACACGCTGCGACGCCGTCTGGTGGCCACCTGCTGGTGCATTCGTTCGCTCCGCAGTTTGAAGCGAAGCTCCGCGGCGCGGTCATTTTCAGTGCACAGCTTCATTTCGAAAAAAATTGGTAATGCGTTCGAAGTTTTGAGCTCTGTCTTCAGTCAGTGTCGCACTGTTTGACTGATGCTAAACTGAGGTTCAGGCTTGAGGTCGAAGGCACGATCGTATGGTGCGATAGAAAAGGTCGGAACCAATAACAGAAGACAGACACAGTAGAGCTGCTGGTGGCGTAAGAAAAGTGTGCCGGCGAGAATAAACACCAACGCCCGTAGGAACAGTAACAACTGGCAGGCAATTGATGGCTGGATGTCGTAAAAAAGGGGAAATAAACAGCAATAAACAAAACTCAATCACTCGAAGAGGGCACAGACGCACAAGAAGAGTGTTGGTTGGGGTGGAACTGTTTTTGTACTACTAGACGGGGCTGACACCTTAACCTCAGAAGCGCACTGCCGATGACATTCTGAGTGAGTGGAGGCGCCTGTCAATATTGTGGCAATGTAGTGGAGAACAAAAATACGGGACAAGTGAAAAAAGTACAAACAAAAAGTATGACAATGAGCAAACGAGGGAAGAGAGAAAAAGAGCCAACTAACGGTAAAGGCGAACGGTGACGTTGTGTTGGCAGAGATGAGACGAGAAGTGTGGAAGAGAGAGTGGTTTGAGTAGCGCAGACTTGAACGAGCTGCTCTTCGATGACTACGTGCACCTTTTTGCTAAGGTTGCCTGGTGATCGACCGGTGACACTGAGACACTGACAGCAGACTGTACTGGTCAGCAGCCGGCACAAAAGATGTGGCACCTGACGACTAATTACTTCTTTATCAGGTGTTTCGCTGTTGTAGTTGCTGCTAATTAGTTGCTCCTGTCAACTGGCCCACTGAATGGCGAGGTTGTTGCTGTGGTATCGTCGCCGCTGTGCATGAGAAGGCAAGTGAGTGGAAGCGTGGAAGAGTGCAATGGGCAAATCAATCGTTCCGAATGAGAGTCGAANTCTGGTGGTGTTGTTGCTGCTAATTAGTTGCTCCTGTCAACTGGCCCACTGAACGGCGAGGTTGTTGCTGTGGTGTCGCCGCTGGGCATGAGAAGGCAAGTGAGTGGAAGCGTGGAAGAGTGCAATGGGCAAATCAATCGTTCCGAATGAGAGTCGAAAGTGCAGTTTGCAGCAGTATTTTTTGCGGCACTCTACTCGAGGAAGGAATGCTAATGTTTGCTTGTTCTCTTTCTCTCGTTCTTTCTCCTTGTACGTCTGTCTCAGTGACTGAGTGTCTGTTCAATCTGTTCAGTCAGCTGCGGCAGTAGCAGTAGGTCATGGCTCGCGTGCCGAGGCAAAATACATTTTCCTTAAGCTTTCAGCAAAGCTGGCAGCAACTGTGCCACGGAAAGATCTGCCCTTGGCGTGGGAGTTGTGCATTAGTGGCACTCTGCTTGCCTGGGCCTCACTCACTCACTCAGTTATGGTCTGGGAGACACTCCTCTAAAGTGCTACTGTCGGTCACTGACTGACTGAGTGTGTGTCACCGCAGCTGACCACCACAGCCACCTCATGACCTCTTATGGTTATCAGCAGCAGCATCACTCTCTATCATCGGTGATTTGTCAGCAGCAACAGGAAGAGCACTATCAGTAGGCTACTCGGTGCCTGCACTCACAGTGGGTTGTCTCCTGCAGCAGACGCTGATGAGTCGACAATATCGCCCCCTCTTTCTCTCTTTCCATTTCTTCTACAAACTCACGAGTCATAAATAGTCGTGAGCTGTCAAGTCGATTGCGCCGCATCGATGCCTTCTTTCCAGAATGCTTATGTCATACACTGACTGTGTGTGTGTGTTGCACTACAACTCTGTCGTTGTTGTCCTTCCTTGCAATCACCCACTTTTAGTTGGAAAGGAGAAGAGAAATAGAGTTATATTTGACAATTCTAAGCAAACTTTGACAGACAAACAGACACGGCCTCTGTGGCAAAATAACACGCAGTTTTTCTTTCTTTATACAAGTTCTCATCAAGAAGAGACAGAGAATGTCCAANTTTGACAGACAAACAGACACGGCCTCTGTGGCAAAATAACACGTAGTTTTTCTTTCTTTATACAAGTTCTCATCAAGAAGAGACAGAGAATGTCCAAAGTGTTGATATGACAAATAAATGCAGCTTGGCCACACACAAGTTGATAGTCCGTTTCTGGTGGTAGATAGAGAGTCAGCTTAGATGATCATCAGTGGTGGTGGAAGTAGTGACAGGTGGTTGGTGGTGTGACAGGGCACAAATCTGCCTGAATCACAATGGTTGTGTGTACAAGGGGTGATAAGAAAAATACAGGAAAAAAATTATATAAAGTAAAAATATACATCAAGGTTGAGAGGAGAAGAATAAAAGAAGAAATGGGTAAAAGAATTAATGAAGCGAATGAGACAATAAATGGCATTTGGCATAAAAATACAGGTATTGCAGTTTTGTGGGGTTAAGTATAAAAAGTTGAGAACAAAATAAATGGGGGAAAGCGAGAGAGAAAAGCAAATGCTCAAGCATCACCTGCCGAGCACCAACAAATAGAGTGGTCCGCTGATTGGCACTGTGATACTGGGGGACAATCTCGTCTCTTGTACGAACTGCCCGGGAGGAAGGCACACAAAATAATGGCACACTTGTTGAGAGTTGGCTTGGCACGAGAAGCACAGTGATCGAAGGTGGCGATGGACTGGCGGTGGAGATAGATGGGAGGAGAAGGAGTGATCGGAGATGATGACAATGGTGGTGCCAGTCTGAGGTCGTTGAGATGGCGGGTCGTGTAGTACGTTCTTGCGTTTACGGTTGATTACATTTGTCTTTACTTTGTCCGTTTAGGAGACACTTGAGATCGCATTGGCGGGTGAGCCCATCTGGGTGAGCACCTTGTCGAGCCACATCAGGGCGCCGCTGAGGTGAATTTCAATCCAGCAGGGCGTGGAGGTGACGTCCTGGCGGTGGTACTCTGCACCCCAGCCCTTGACGAATGACATTCGAATGGTGCACATTTTGACCAGTTCAAAGACCGACTCAAAGCCCTCATTGACCGCCTGCGAGAGCAGCGCCGCAAACTCGGCATTGTTGAAGATCTTCAGCGTACAGCCGCTGGGAATCTTGCAGACGGTGGTGGGGTGAAAGCCATTGGAGCGGTTGCAGTTTCGTGACTGAACAAAAATGGCCGACTCGGAGAGACACTCGGCGAAGACCTCGCCGCCGACGTAGTACAGGTGGACGCCTTTGCCAATGTGACGACGGGTGTTCTCAATGGTCGAGTTGCGGTTCACATTGGACAGCAGACCGAGGCACATTCGGTGGTTGTTGGTGGTGGGGTCGGTGAAACCGTCAATGGTCACCGAACTGGTCTGCGCACTGAACATCTCGCCGACTCGCGAGTTGAGCTCGTAGTAGGCAATCTGGCACCAGTACTTGGGCTCAGAGTAGGCGATAGGCTGCACGTCAGGAGTGATCTCCACGTGATGCGGCGGAGTGTACGCCGGCGGGGGCGAGTCGGCCATCACTGGAAGTGAACAACACAGTTAGTATGTTGTAATAAGGACTCTAAACAGGACTTACTGGACATGAAGGGCGAAGAGGGCCCATTGGAAGATGGAGGCGATGGGGATGACATCAAAGAGCTGGGAGAAGGACAGAATGACTCACTGTCGCTGTTGTAGGTGACATTGCTGGGCATGCCATTGCTGTCTGACAACTGCAATAGGGGGAACAATGAAAATGGGGCTGCAATAAAAAAGCAAAAGAATGCGCAACTTACGCCTCGAAAGTTGGAAGGAATGGGAACAGCGCCGTTGTTGTTGTTCAGAGTGTTTGGAAAGTCTGAGTAACGGGGAACCAGCACTGGTGGCAGTACTAGAGAAGGGAAGGAAAGAGAAGGTGGTTAGGCATTGTAGAGGTTTGCACACATCACTTTACACCAACTTACTCGGTGACTCAACTCGTCGGTAGTGATACGGATTAATGCAAACGTCCTTTTGCTTTGAGGAGAAGGGAAAGAGGCAGTGCTCCATTGGCTTCAACTCGTGATGCGATTGCAGATCAGGCCAACGCCAGACTCGGCAGTAGATGACATGTGGAAGGCCCTTACGGTGGGAGACCTGCAGGCGGCCATCGAGAGATCGAGGAATGGTGACACACTTGGAGGGCTGTCCCGGATGAGATAAGGCGTACTCCAGGTCTTCGATGGCGCCCTTTGACTTCTTCAGACGCTTCACAAGCGACTCAATGGCCTTCTCAGCCCACTTCTCCTCCTCATCGCCTTGTTTCCAACCTGTTAACGGCATCGATTACAACATAATAATAGTAGAGCAATTAGCATAACAAAGAAACACAAACAAAAGCGGTGGCGGCAGCCATTAGTGATAACACTTACCCAGAAGACGCTTAACTGATGGTGATGAAAAGTTAAAGAGCGAATTGAAAGCCATTTCTGATTAGTAGTGATGAGTCGCGCGGTCCACTCGTGGAAAAGAGGTAAAAAATGGATGACAGTAAAATAATTCCAAAACGCTTGTCAGGATGTGATGGGGATGTCAAAACAGTGTGCCACAGACGACCACAGATGAGAGGAACGAGGGAGATGAGAGGAGGTGAAATTACCGCTGAACGATTTGCATACAGGCCGTGGAAGATAGCAACAGCAGCAACCAAAACAGTAGCAGTTGAGCCTAAAAAGGAGTGAGAGAGAAGTAAAGCGTGTTAGCTCTAAAAAGTGTTTTCCCCCACAAGTGCTGCTGCTGATGCTCCTCTACCAACTACAATTCTCCAGAGTGGGACTGAGAGAAGGGCGCAGAGAAAGAAAAAGTGCTTTTAAGAGTCGGATTTCAAAACGGTGTGTGTTTGTCTGTGGTGAGCAACTCTACTATAATTTGGTCAGAGGTAGTCAGCAGAGTAGGTAAGAAGAAGTGTATGTGAGAAATGTGCGCGCTAAGATATTGATTATCAAGATCCATAGTCGATTGCAAAGGCAACAACTGTTGGCAGTGGCAACGCCGGAGGAAGCAGCAGCAGCAGCAGCAGTAGCCTTCCCCTCTCCTGGACCACTAACGTGTCTCCCCTTCAGCGATCTCAGCCAGTCAGTGCACAGCCGTAAGGAATCGGATGGTGGTGGTGCGCAAGTAAATGCTCAGGATGGATGGATGCATACATACTGCAGAGAGTAACATACAGGGCTGAAGTATGCACACACACACACTGCCACATTGGGTAATAAAACAGTAAGAACAAGCAAAGGAAAGTGCAGGTGCGCTCTGCCTCTGCTGTTGATGTGTCTCGAGCAAAGAAAGAAGGAGAGAGAACGCGAGATAAGCTCCCGATGAGGACAACAATTGGGCACTGGCAGCTCCTTACACACACTGGTGGAGCCACACAGTCCGGCGCAGTGAGACAGTTTATCGGGCGGTCGGGAGTGTGTAGTGCGCGATTAGCCTGCCTGCCTTCACTCACTCACAGTGTGTGTCGAGAGTTCTCCTTTGGTTCCGTGTGTGCGAACGGTGGCCAAGTTACGATTAGAGTGATTTCAATAGAAATCAATACGCAATGACTCTGGTGGCAGTCAGAAGTGACTTTGAACTGCCTCATAAACGACGACACCTCACAACTTTGCTTGCACAGCCTGCAGCATAGCCACAGCACATTCTCTTCCTGAGAATCATCGCACAGTTATGATATAGTTCCCATTGGGGAACAAGGAATTAGGAAGCTGCAAAGCTGACAGTTTGAAGGTGATGTGCAAAAGCTCTGCTGCAAGCTGCCAAGAGTAAAGTTCCAAGAGAGAGAGAGAGAGAGAGTGCCAGTTAGGAGCACCTAGTGGTGTGTTTGGTTTGCGATAAACATTTGCGCCCTGATGCGATGACGGTGATCATCATCATCATCATCATTAGGTGTCTCCAGTGCCCTGTCATCAGGTGTGCGTACGTGTCTGTGTACGTTTGACGACGTCGAGTAGAGAGAGAGAGAGCAGTGAAAGTGAAACATGCTGCAAGAGACGATAGTGTCAGAGAGATTGTCGTGATGACACACGCACGCAAGCACGCAAGCACACTCACCCCCAACCCTCACCCAGGTGGTGGTGGACAGTGCAAAAATGACAAGGAGCAACAGGTGGGGCAGCTGTCGGAGAGTGGTGAAGGAGAGAGTGGGTGAAGAAGGAAAGCCAGTGGGGCACAGCTTGCCAATCAAATGGAGAGCACCGGCAGATAACCGAGCAGAGGATGCGACGGTGACAATTAATGGGTGCGCACAGGAGAAGGTGGTGGTGGTGGCTGAGCGAGTTGAACTTGACCACGACCGGTCAATTAGTGCATGTTTAATGGGCTAACAGAGAGAAAGATTGTCCAGAGAGATAAAAAGGAAGTCAGTGCCAGAAAAACAAAGTAACAATGTAGACACTGAAAATGGACTACATGAAACTGCGAGCACCTACGCCAACGAAAAAGATGTGACTGTTGACATTCGCACACCAACGCAGGAGAGATGACGGTGATGGTGGTGGTGGTGGTGGCGATGATGATGGTTATGAGAAGCAGTGACAGCTAATAAAGAGGCAATGACACTTGTGAAGATAGCCGGCGACTACTGCATGGGCACTGAAACACATACACACACACAACCACTGATAGACACTCTTTGCACTTGTGGAACGAACATGTGCACCACACACACAACAGCACAACAGGTGACAAAAATGGCTGCTTACGGTAGTGGTGGTGGTGTGGCGGTAGAGGTAGTGACAGTTGCACTGACCACCACTGAAGAAGAGTTACTGAAGAGGAAATTGCGCGCGAGATATTGCGCAGCAGCCTGCAGGACAGAACAGGCCTGGACAGACACGTTGAGGAGATTGAGATTGTTCGATCAGCAGCGTGCGTGCGCGTTGCTGAATGCTTGAATTCGAGCCGTCAACTGAACTGAACTGAAGAGACTTCTCTCCAGTGCTGGACGATGATGGCAGAAGAACTGGAGAAGGGGGCACACACACCGTAGAGGAAGACAGACTTGGTCGTTGTAGCTGTTTGGCCGACGAGACCTGTCTTGACCAATGGGAAGACCGGGACTGAGAAGTGGCCACGGCAGGCACTGGCAGACACTTGACAGCCGACAAGACGAGCTGTTCGATTGGAACTGACGACGACGACTTCACAGTGAGTGAAATGAAATGAAAAGACTGCTTCTGTCTGTGTGCATGTGTGCGAGTGTGAGTCAGTTCAGTCTCTTCACAGTGTGAACAAAGTCAGTCACTTGGTCGTCGCTGAAGCAGAAGTAGAAGTAGAAGAAGAAACAGGGAACAGACAAGGAATACTGCTGCTGCTGCCTCCTTTCACTGGTGTCAGCATGCAGTGATCTTGCCTCGCTTCGCTCTCTTCACTGGCACTCTCTGTGGCCTCGCGGTGTGCTGATCGGCGACGATGACGACGACGAAGACGACGAAGAGCTAAATGCCCAAGAGGCAATTGCTGGGGTAAGTAATCGAAGACGCGAAACTTCAGTGGCCACTTCTTCTTCTTCGCTTCAGCCTGCCGTCCACTGCACCGACGAGTGCCCTGGCCTCGACAGAGACGGTGCTGCTGCTGATGGCTGTGAGCCCTTTTCAAAGCCACCCTAAATGTTGATGGCTCACTAGCAGCACCGGGCACTTACTTGGCCAACTGAGTGGAAGTAAGGCCACTGGGCCACCACCACCACAACCACTGTGCGCAATTGCTACTGTGCCAAGATAGGATGCCAATGCTGGCGTGCCTTTCAAATGAAAGTCGGGGGCGGAATGGGCGAGGGGCCGAGTCATCGATCAAAGATGTGCACGATGAAATAGCAGTCTTCTAGTCTCTCTCTCTCTTTCTCCTGTTCGATAGGCTGGCCAGCAACAGAGCTTGTCAGGGCACCCTTCAGTTTATAGCTGAGCGACTCTTAATTTATGTTCGTGCACTGCAGTGGCTGGCTGGCTCTAATGCTCGTCACAATGAAAACAAACAAAAACAACATTGCGTCGAAAGTGAATGCGTGCAACATTGCAGTCTGTGTCTGCCTGCCTGTGTTAGTGTATGTGTGTGAGTGTAAGAAGCCAGTCTAAACAAGACGAGATAAACAGTTTGATAAGGAAGAGACTAGACAGAGGGAATTCGCGCGTGGAATGCAAACACAGTAGGGCCAAAGACCACCACAAACATTTACAGAGCGGCAGTCTTCTGAGAGGCAAAGCAGACAATGCACTGCCCTTGTTGGCATCCCTCTTCCGCCTTCCCCTGACATGCTTGAAGACCACTGGTTGCTGAATCAAACCAAACTCACACATGGCACACTGTGATATGGCTAATTTAGCAAACAAAACAAAACAGTCCACCGTATTCTGCAAGCAGACTTTGACCGTCACTACTACAAGTGACGCCAAATTAAACGTCGTCCCCCATCATGCTAGACAGTGCACAAGAATGGGCAGCGGAAGANTGCACTGCCCTTGTTGGCATCCCTCTTCCGCCTTCCCCTGACATGTTTGAAGACCACTGGTTGCTGAATCAAACCAAACTCACACATGGCACACTGTGATATGGCTAATTTAGCAAACAAAACAAAGCAGTCCACCGTATTCTGCAAGCAGACTTTGACCGTCACTACTACAAGTGACGCCAAATTAAACGTCGTCCCCCATCATGCTAGACAGTGCACAAGAATGGGCAGCGGAAGAAGAGGCATGAGAACGGGAGGGCAACAAATTGTTTGCAGGTATTAGTTAGGAAAGGGAGTGCGAATGGATTCATTGGCAAAGACCAAGTGCAACTGACTGAAGGGCAAATGGCAATGTCCCGAGAAGAGGCTATCATTAGAACCATTAGCAAGGGGCTCAATGAAAGAAAATTGTGCCGCGCGCGATTTGCGCGTCGTTTAAAACAATTCTTCAAAAGCAATCTTTGAATTGGACCAAAATGAGTGAGAGTAAGAGAGAGTACCTTGACCAAACTGCCCACCACTTGTACCCGTCACCGGGACCAGGTAATCATAGCTACAGTGTCAGCTAATCTATCATTATCTAGTACACTTTGCGCTACTTGCATCGTTTTGCAACCATTTCCACCATTACAGACCTGCTTATTTAGGCAGTTAGTAAAATGCAATCATTAGAGAATGGTGGCGGTGGTGGAGCAGGCTGCTGCTGCTTCTGCTGCCACGAAAGATTAGATTGAATCGATGGCAATGTGAGATGCGTTCGCGAGATGAGCCAGAACACGCCAAATTAAGTCAAGACCGAGCTTTTGGCGTTATCGGCGTCGCCAGGCAGCATTGCCTGCAATGATTGATCGGTCAGTGAGCAGCAGGCTTGTTGAATTAAACACCAAGCAAATTCCTGCCGTGAAAATATTAATTGGAGTGTATCATGCAAAGCTTGTGATTGGGTTATTCACAGCTGACTATATCGAGCGTCTAGCGTTTCCCGAGTACGGGCAGCGAGAATGACTTCCACTGCGCGCCACTGCACTTGCCACTAACGCAACCATCAACAGGCAGGTGTGAGAAGCTCATTGCCTCAGAGTACCCTCAGTGCTCAGGTGATGGTGCAAGGTGTAAGGAAAGTGCAGGTAGGCAGGCCTTGGCAGTGCGCGCGCCAACAGAAAGAGAAAGAGCAAGTGAGGAGAGAGTGCTCGTAGCAGTGGTCGTGGTGGTGGTGAGGTACTTGTCAATGCCTGAAGGGCTAATTGAAACTTAAATAGCTTACCTTGTCTTTGCCAGCGAGAGTGAAGTGTGTAGTGTGTGAGCCACTTGAGCAGAGAGAGTACCTTCGCTTTTCGTTCTTCGTTCTGCGAGCTCGCGCGTTTCAGTTTCGATCACCACCACCACCACTGCCGCCGGAATGGAATGCAAACGTTCTTGCAGCTGCAGCAGCAGCTTCGAAATGGCAAAGTCGTCAGATCGTCGCGTTCTGATCCTCGCCGAGGCTGCTGCCGAAGCAGCAGCAGAACTTTCCTCGAGGATGATGGCCAGCAGACACTGGTGCGGCTGTTGTTGTTGTCGTCGTTGTTGATGGTGATCGTGGTGGTGGTGATGGGAGGTAATGGCGGTGGTGATGGCACTATCTGTTGCTTCTTGCTGATGTTGTTGCTGCTGTTGTCGTCTCGCTGTCGTCGCGTTGTCTGGCGGGAGGGACAACAACAAA